TAGAAAAGCAATAGAATCGAACCATGAATGAATACAAGGGCCCTGCCCGTTCTCGATATTTGTGAATAGTCCCCGGCACTGTCTCCGCCAGATCCACCAATGTCCATGGACAAACAGAAAACGGGCTTTCCAAATCGTTGCGAATGAACTGACGGTAAGGCCTACATTGTGTTAGCTGAAATCGCTAACGTTTTTTATAGAGGGAACCTTTGAGTTCAAAATTTGACCGCCAATACAGCTGGAATTTCGGGCCTTTCTCCGGTCCGTTGTGGTAACCTTGAAAATGTCAGTTTGATTCAAAAGTTGTTGGCTGTGTGCACAATTCATCGACGTGACCCTGGAACTTCCACAAACCTGTTTGCCATTTGTTTTGGCATTTTAATTTTTTCAATACACTAGTTATCTCTAAGCCGTCTGATGTGAAAGAGAAAACGTGGATGGGTCAACACCTTCCAGGTTGGGACTGCGTAAATTCGGCTGGTAGGAGCTCGTTCGCCACTGACAGTTCGTAGTTGAACAGGGATTCATGCATCCATGATGAGTACGGAGTCATTGCTCTGATCGTTCAGACGCGAAAGCTAATTCGTCTACCCAACACGTACTTTAGACAGCGACTCACCGGGAGTTGAGCTTCGGATTACCCTCAACCTGGTTTGGCCCGCTTGTCGAGCTGTTTACCGGGGTGTGGCCGCTGTTGTATTCAAACAGCTCCCTAGAGCCACAGGTGAGAGCTGGGCACCTGGTGGAGAACAAATAACGGAGGATGCCCCAAAGTGGTCGACAGCCCTCCGAGTCAGAGGTGCAACTCCTATCAGGTACACTTATACACCATACACGCATTATGAAAACTCTTCCACCCGATGAAAAGATTATATTTTGTCAACGGGAACTACAAGTGAGCATATGCTGCATTCCTACGTTCACCTAGTGGGGAGCTTTTGTAAAGAAACCAACTTATCGTGGTTTTTATTTTTTGAGTGAACTCTCCCCTCTCGGGGGAGGGGGATTAAAGTGGATAAGCGAAAACCAGTTGCTGTCCAATCAGTTGGTCTAATGTGGGACGAAATTCTGTCTAGCCTCTATACATTGAGATTTAAGAAGTGATTGGGTTCAGTTCTGCGAAAGCTGTCCGGTACATTTCGCTGCATCATGGATTTACGTAAGCGTTCACACCACGTCGATGTGACATCTTTTCTTGGTTGTGGAAGACCTTTTAGCTTGTGTAGAACATCGAAAGTGAATAGCAGCTTTGGCTGGAAGCTTCATAAATATTATTCAAATCATTTAGTCCTGAGGAAATTCAAAAACAATATTTTATGCCTTATCTTCTCGATTTCTCTGTTTCTCTAAGCAGCGTTGTGTGTCGTAAGGATTTAAACTTATAGCAGAGGGCTTGCACACTGTATGCTTAACACTTACCAGATAGTTGATGAGTGAATGCCTGGCGTATATCATCCGGACGTCTGGAGAATAGGACACGTCCACCGAAATTCGATGAAATTGCAGAACGAATGATGATATTGGAATAGAATACAGCAACCTCGGCGCCGGTAATGAAGCGTTCAGTGCCATATACTTCATTATAAGCTAAACAGAAAGGTAAACGGAATTTAAATGAGTTTTTTCTGGGCAAACTGTCCGAGCATTTGACAGTGTAACTGTGCACACGAGCTATAATATGAACCCTCCAAGCTCATCCTACTGCCTGAAGGCCTTGTGGCTCAGATTAGTATTAGGTGATATATATTTCTTATGTAAATCCAATCGGAACTACCATACGGTTTTAATGCAAAAAAGATCCAGGTAAGCTCTCTGACTTTTGAACAGTCAACACAATTTCCGCACTTTTCTTATCGACTCATTCTGGAGGACTTGAATGGTACCACAAAAAAGTGCTTTGCAAAGTTTGTTTTGTGAACTTTTAGCATTCACAGAAGTTGAGCTTTAGAGCTATAATGTGCATTAGTTATAAGACAGAGTAAGGCAATAGGTGTAGACTGATATAGGGGGCCCAAACTTGAACCCATTTGACAGTAGAACCCAGTTGATTGTTTCGCACTTCATGATTACTGTTCTGTATGCTTGAAAAACGTTACAACAGTTCTCCCCCAAGTTCATACTCTTCTGAATGCGGTCTCGTGAGGGCATTAAAATATCCGCTCCTAGAGTTAATATATTTCCTCTGATCCAGTGGTTCTGCTTAACTTTTCGACTAAACTAGGTCGCGCATTGGGAGTCGAACCTAAACTACAACTGCGCCATTCAGAAGAACAATCATGTCTATTCGTCTGGATAACATGGTATGCCAAAGAAAAGATCGGTGATCATAACATGCACAGCTAAATCTGAAGTGAAATTGAACACGGCATCCGAAAACAGGCCACGGTGTACTGTCACTCGTCACTTACCCACGTGATGATATTGTAATTTCTCCCTGATTGTGATCAATCGTCCATCCAATGAGATCTTCTCAATCGTAGCATATTCTGTTTCTGAGTACTGTTTGCTTGTAGTTGCTATTGCAATCATGTCGCCTGGTTGCCAATCTTGAGCGGAGTCTGTGAGGTGTATTTCGTTTGATCCGAGTACAGTGCTGTCGGACAAACGGGCCCACGAGCGATTGCGGTGCAACGCATTCAAATAGACTTTACCGAAAATAGCTGTACAAAGTGGAGGAAAATGGCCGAAATGGGAGCGCACGACGAAGAGAGGGTGGAATGGAAAGAAAGCTCCTGATCATTTTATTTACAATCATATATGGACAATCAAAAATACCATACCAAAATGCTATAATAAATGTCATTCTGCAAAACGTCTCTTTTTCTTTTCAATCAGATCTTCATTTACAAAATTTTAGTAGCGATAACCTAGGGCTTGACTGGAAGTTCGTCAAAGGTAACCAACATATTTCAGTAAACGCTAAGTAGGTTTCACACACTAGACCGTCTTCGTGTCGGTGAATTGGCCTATTACAGCTTTATGGACGAGTACTGCCAGGGAGTTCAACCACTAAACAGGAGAACGATTAGGGTTTTGAACCAAAGCCTTTAATTCTGACAAGAACCTAACCGCATGTCAGCGGATTGGGCTGTTTGGAGGCCCATTAACTCGGATCATTTACTCCTCCAACACGTTTTACTGATTCCAGTAAAACCCCGAACCTGGTGAACCAGACGACTGGACTTTGTCTGGACTCTACCCATTGACCTTTCAGGAATGATAAGACTTCCTGGCTTTATAAAGCCATCCTGTGTAGCTCGTTGGGTCACAGAGGTGCATAATCCATCACGCCACGTCAAGGTGCAGTCCCGTCGTGAAGGTAAAGGTGGTGAAAATCATCAAAACGGTTAATCAACTGGCAGACGTCAAACAATCCCAAGAAACGAGTATTCTTCAAGGCGAGATAACTAACTAAACCTGATTTCTTTTGCGGAAAGGTGAAAATAGGCGAAAAATATCACCTTCTTCACAGATTAACAACACTACAAAAAATTAAATGGTCATCCAAATCATTTAATTAATTCAGACTTGTATAACATTTGCGTTTCAGAATAATTCCCTTTTGTTATATTTTTGATGATCCGTTCTAGCTTGATGTTTTTTTCTCTTCTCTCCAAGTCCGGTTTTCATTGATTAAATAGTATTTGATCTGCAAAAAACATCTCTCATTTAAAGCCGATTAATCATTTTGATAGATTTTGGATTTGACCGTTTTCTTTGTTGTTTCCCATGCTTACTGAAACCCCGATCGATACATTGGATTTGATCAGGATTGGTTGACACTACTGCTGCCCTGATAAGCTTTTATTTTAGCCACTCAACGTGGAGTTCATTGTGTGATGCCTCAAACGTGATTCGCGAAACATGTATAGAAGTTCCTCGTTTCAACTATACACAGTATTTGTTGTTATAATGACTTCTGGTGATTCCGCTGGTCAGTTGCATGAATGCCGTAGCACTGACGGTCAATAGTGCTTGCCGAAACACGAAACCTTGGTCGCGTAGTTACATGAACAACTATCTCTTTATGGAACGGCAATGCCCTGGCCCTATTTTGTGTTAATCCTCTGGCGTGTCTGCATCTGACAAGCTAACAATCCCTGTTACAGTGACATCATGATGGACACCGTTCGAGGGAATTGACTTTTAGAGTAAAAACCTATGCTAATTATCTCCCATTCAACACATTACGTAAACCCGACGTAGCAGGAACAATCGTAAAAAACCCGCTGTCCTTCCGTTTCATACCAGAAACAATTTGGGGTTTTATTTGTTGGATGTTATGTGTGCTTGATCAACAAACGGTCGAACCTGTATCGACCCGGCAGTTGCACGGACAATCAGGTGGAGGATGCAAATAGTTCCTGAGTTGGGATCATGATTTGCGATTTGAGCTACCTTTTTCAAATCAAAGTCCATTAGAGCACAACTGAATTATTTTTATTACTCCTCAAAGTGTTGTCAAATTGTTGAAGCCGGGGATGGTTGAAGACCGCGTTAGGTACGGATGGTCTGTACTGGGAACGACACAACAGAACAGAGCTGTTTCATCCCCCTTTAAATCAAATAAAAGTTCTGTTTCGGTGCAGAATTGCATACGATTTATGCAAATACCCAATAGGTAAAACGCACATCGACCGGAAGTGACAAGTCTTAGACCTGCGAAATGACAACAGCTTATTGATCAACAATAACTGCAGGGCACATTTTGAAGGCACACAGATCTATTCTCAATATCATTAGTTTTGCACAGGGTACGTGGTTTTCTGAAAAACGTTGTAAATGCGCGGAATACAGAATACAAACAATAGGGTCTATGCATTTGTACGGGTTCGAGGGAAAGCATTTTCAGGTTTATGTGTATCAGTCGTTCAGCTTCTGATAGTTGATCATTTTCTGATATATTAAAAATTAACCGGTAAACAGTTAGAGGTGATCATACAGATACCAGGTCGTAAATGCATAGTGAGTGTGATAGTTAATTACGTTATCGAAGAAGGCTTAGTGTGAGGCGAATAATACCCAGCTTGGTTTCAATCACGTTGCAGGATTGGCTCTGGGTTTATGAGCTCATTTTGATTGGTACATTAACCTAATAGGTTTGTGCACGCGTGTTCGTGTGTGTGTGCGTGCGTGTGCGAGCGAGCGGCACCCGAAAACGCACTGATTCCAACCGACTGGGGAGAAAGAGTGAGTGGGACAGACCAGTTCAAGAGAAACCTCACTAATTTTACGAGTGGAGTCTTAAGGAATCCCTTGCATCGATCCACCTGCATATTGCACTTCACAAGGTGTTCCCCATGATATTGCAGAGTCTACTCGTCCTGCAACGACGATGATCACTACTGTTCACCGACCATGATGATTGTTGGCCTAATTTGTGTATGTATCTGTGGCGCCGTCGTTTCATGCTCACATAACAACTTCGACACCGGTCCACGTCTTTTAACTTTTCCTATCAATTGAGCCGAAACAGATATGCACAAACCGGACGTTAATACGTGAGTAGCTATTTCGCTATTTTGTGTTGATGTTAATCGGTCGTGGAGGTCACCGTGGGTAATGTGTGTGGCAGCAATATGTGAGAAATCGATGTATGTATGCCCTGTTGAGGATCTCTGTGAATGAGCTATGCGACGCTTCTTATTGAACTGAGTGTCAATTTGACGACGCAGTCTGCGTGAGCAGTCAAATGACTAATAATAAATGTCAATGGAAACTGTTTTACTTCACCACTTCCATGTGATTAGAGTGTTGAAGGTCAGATTCATTATCAGTGAATCTACTCATCTTCTCCGTGTGACCCAAATCACTTACGTCATCTTGCTCCGTGATACGTTTCCGAAGAAACTGCGTTTGCTACATGAGCTGCTTCAATAATGAAATTTATGTGCGAATATAATTTTTTCCAGTAAAACTGTCAAATAGTGGACTCAGTATTCCATACAAATTATCGGACTGGTATGCCCGGTAAGATCATCATCTGTGTTGAGGCGAAATACCATTTTCTTACCGAGAACACTCGAGCCAATCTCCATTTCGGGCAAGTCACGGAATCGCACAGGACTGTCCGGTTGCACATTGAGGTCCAAAATTAGCGTTGCGTATTTGAGTGGGTCAGACATGGTTACACCAGCTATGAGTGTACCTCCATCAATTAGCATTTGTTTGAATTGCCAGTAATAGGCACGAATATCTTGTTCAGAACCCGATTCAAACTCCAGCACACCTTGGAGAAGTACTGTTTCCAACGACAGAGCAACATTGGTATCCATTTTGAGATGGACGTGTTTTGGGATGGTAAACTGAAAGTATGTGTTCATGAGAAGAACCGGAGAGATTGAGGTGGACGGGGAATACAAGTATCATAATCATCAAAAACGTGCAGCAGAGCAATAATGTTTGACTGAAGTACGATACAGAGTGATATTCCAAAATGCTATATAAAATGGATAAATTACTACAAAGCCTTCACATTTGTACGACTGTTTTCCCGTTATATAAACGGCCATGTTGTTTATCGAACCGATTGAGAGGTAACTTTCAACCTCGGCATTACATCTGTGTGTTAGAACTATTATGTCTTTGTGTCTTTTTACTTTCTTTTTTATTTGTTAAATATACAAATGTACAGCCAACATTCAAGAAAAGGGCCAGGACCTGCTTTTGGTGTGCTTGAAGCATCGGGTAATACAATCATGCCCTCTACCACATATTTTGTCCATCCGTCTGTCATACAAAACCGATGACACAACAGCTAGCATCGATATCTGTCAGTTGAAAATTTAGATGTTTCGTCTACAACAAATCTATCCACATATTGAACATTATTTTAGATTTCACCTTCCCGCACATTCCTCAACTCTTCCAATTAACCATGCTCACTGAAGCACTGGAGTCATATGTGACTCTTATCAGTATTGCAAATCCACCGTCCCGTCAAGGATTTGAACTCCGGACCCATCGCTCGGAAGGCATGTGTTGTGGTACCACTGTGCCAAACACCTCATGCCACTCGAATAATGTCAACTATCCCACAACACCGCCCAAGTTTGGCACTAGAGAGCTTTGCTATCGAGCAGCTTAATAACGAGTATAATGTTACGGGGCAATATGTGGTTCGCCACTCCAAAACTCGGAGCTTCGGTTGCTGGTTACCATCCGGGCTGTGGGATGCATCCCCATCTGCCATTCATCCCACAAAAATTGTGTAATAAAAAAGTGTCAAATAATGCGCACGTGCAAATATTGTACGCCATTCAATGCTATCACTGATGAAAGCGGCGATCCCTGTTGATGGGTTTCACCATTGAACGTTTTTTGTGGTAGGTGATTCATTCAGTTGTCTTCAGAAATTATTGAAAACAGTGATGATTTTGCATGCATACGGTGCTTCTGGGGTGAAGCTAGTTACTATGCTCAGGAGTCCGTAATGCTTTGACTACGTAGATCTGGCCCTTTAAAGAGATGATGATCACAATAACGATCATGTACGAGACATTTTCACATGTTAACCCAAAACATCAACAACCACATGTTCATGTAAAGACGATGGATTCTTTTTCAGGTCACCATTCAACCCATTACTTCCTATGTTAGATTGATATTTTCGAAGAGCACACTTACTATCTGACGTTCGTGGACCATCGAGGCAGTTTAACTACCAGCAACGCACTGATATTGTTTTGTTCGGATAGATTTATGTTCGAGTATCACGCTATCATGCGTCTTACTTTTTTTTACTACCTTCTATGGATTCATTAGCAAACTAAAAAGAATCATTTAGACGGTGAATGTTTGGATTAACCCAATCGAAGTGAAACTCACACCCAAGGACATCAACAGTGTCTGGCACCTGTCAAAAAACCCCGATGGGCTCATCCAAACATCTACCGTCTAAATTGATTGAGTCATTCGTGCAAGTTTGTGCTCGTGGGATGTGTAGCTCAGGAGTAGGGGTTTGAAATCCCCACCCGAAGATTCGCGGTTCGAATCCTTACAGGGGCACAAAAAGCACGCACTGCTGAGGAGTTCCAAACAGGACGAAACGGCTGCCCAGTACCTTTTGTCGGTCATCACAAACATTTCCATCGCATTTTAATTATCATTATAGAAGTCGTGAGAACGTTAGCTTCGCAAAGTGTCGACAGGAAAAGGATATCTGAGTAGAAAATGGTTTGAGTGAAAAATTGTGCTTCACGTGGCCTGATGTAGGTTCACAAGTTGTTTTACAATCGTGCTCAGTAAAAAAGGTGGTTTTGTGTCTCAAAAATGTTTC